ATGCTTTGATAATGGGACCTCTGTTGATCGGGGCTTCCTGCAGCTGCTCCACTGGAGTCCTCATGTGTCTCACCTTCATCAAACTCCACACTGGGGGTCAATGTTGAGTGTAAGGTCCTGATGGCCAGGTGACATGAGATGAGCTGTTCACCCAGGATAATAGCAGGACCACGGCTCAGGAGAGAGTCCACATCATGGGCAAGAAGGGATGCAAAATATGTAAACCAGAGAAGCAGGGCCTAGCATCAGGCCAAAAAACTGAGAAATGATCCCAAACGGACAGGATGATTACAAGGTCAGTAGACACAAAGTGTGGGAGCAGTGGAGGATGCTGAATGGAAGGTGGATCACGACAGGTAGTCCAGTAATTCTACTGATTTGGAACAGTGTAGACGGCTGGGGAGCAGTTTGGTTGGTTGGTCAGTTTGCTTGTTTACTCTTTGGTTTTTAAAGGGTCCTGAGTGGAGTGAATGGTCCTGAGTAGTGCTAGATGCACACAGCCTTCAGTAGTTCTAATTGCAACAGGCTGGCGGGGCCATTACTCTTTACCACCCCCCACTGGGGACCATGCACAGCTGCATTGCTGCTTTTCCACTAATGCCTTCTTGGTAAAAGCCAACTCTGTCAGGGAACATATACATCATTGAACTGCATTAAGGACAGCAAACATGTGGGACAATGGAGCATCTCGCTTAGTTTCATTTGCTAAGACCTTCTGCAGACTCACCATCCCTCCTTATTCCAAATGAACTCTAAAACTCTGTAACAAGACCCACCCAAAGGGTTTCAGCAGAGACTCTTTTGCACCTTACTGTTGTATTCAAAACTGAAAAAACAGAGGATTTGGAAAATTCCAAAATTTGGAGTCATATAAAGACCAAGGCCCAGAATTAGCCTTGGCAAACCTGATCCATAAATTGTTCAGAATGTTAACATTTGAAGTTCTATCCTGGTGAGGAAGCTAAGAGATGTTTCTCTATTTTTATAACGAAGAAGAGGAGGCTTTGCAATAGAGACAGAAACACAGGGGCCATTCTCCCAGGCTCTGGAATCAGACAGTTTGAGTTTAAAACCCACTGACAAACTGTATGGCCTTGAACATGTGACTTAACATAGAGCCACTTGTTTATGACTCAGATTCCTCATTGGTCAAATGGAAAATATAGTGGCTACTTCAAAGGGTTATTGTGGGGATTCAATGAGATAGCATACATAAAGCACACAGCACAATTCCTAGCGCTTGGAGAGTGTTCCAAATGCTTTATTTTCATTATTATCATCATTATGATTATTATTCTCACCATCATCATTAGACCCAGACATTCTTACTCTCCCCAAATCTATACTTACTTTCCCAAACTTCTGCTAATCTTATACTTGGGCTTCATCTAATTGGCAGTGAGTCAAAAGAGGATTCATTATATCAAAGTGTTTGCCAAAGAATGTTTTTGGCAAATTCACAACTGATCTCTTTGGTACCAACATCTAAGGTTAGGGTTACCCCTCATCACCTTCTTGTCTTGTTAATAATACCATGACATTGACTGTTTATAAAGTTACGTTTCAAAAATGAACAACTTATTTGAAGCCATCCATATTTTCAGGCTAAATAAAGTCTCAGTTAATATTCTATCCACTGAATGAAGTGCTGCCTTGAAGTGTTCCCAACCTAATCTCTCCCAAGAAAAGATCCTTAGTTCTAATATTTGAACAAAAGAGCTCATTTTTTTAAGCAATCATAAATGTCTAATAACAAATGAATGATCATTTTTTAGATCATTCTCAATCTGTTTGTAAAGCTAATACTAATATTTCTTAGGCTAATATATTTTCATCAATATTTGGTAATCACTTCCTGTAAATTTTGAGGTTTTATTTTTTGGATAACATTTAAGAGGTTGTTTTCAGGAGTCTTTAAGAAATAGATAGTTTTGGACTTTATTTGCAATAGATTTTCCTCAAGAAAGTGATCTCCATCTAATGACCAAATTGTTATATTACAACCTGCAAAGAAAAGTATCAAAGCCCATATACTCCCATATCAAGCACTTTATGACCTACTAATAACTGTTTGGTTTTAATAGGTAATACTACCGCAAAACCTGTTAAATATTTTAAGATACTTATCAGTATTTGTTCCAAAACTGATAGTGGAGATTTTTTTCTGTTAAGTCAAGACTTGCTTAATTTAATTGGAAAGATTATAATAATTTAAAAAATGCAAATTTCTGATTTGGGGGTAATATTGGTATTTCCTCAATTGAACTGAGAAAAACTAAGCCAAAAATCATACTCCTGTATCTCCTATATTTCTGTTTCTGCATAGCATGAAAAGGATACCATATTTTATTTTTTTTATTTTTTATTTTTTATTTTTTTGCGGTACGCGGGCCTCTCACTGTTGTGGCCTCTACCGTTGCAGAGCACAGGCTCCGGATGCGCAGGCTCAGTGGCCATGGCTTACGGGCCCAGCTGCTCCGCGGCATGTGGAATCTTCTCGGACCGGGGCACGAACCCGTGTCCCCTGCATCGGCAGGTGGACTCTGAACCACTGTGCCACCAGGGAAGCCCCATATTTTATTTTTTAAAACAGTAAGAACATTTTGATATTGGAGGGGAATCAACATAAACATTTTTTATGTGTTCACAGTAAGACCTCCTCATGCTGAAGAGCGGCCATGACTATCTCCTTAGAGCAGAAATCACCCCTATCCTCTCCCTATGCAGAGGTCTTTTATGTCTTTCAACTGTATACTGAATGCCTTCAAAAGCCCTCTTTAAATACTACTTTTCCATGAAGATTTCTCAGATATCCCAGCTTGGATTAATCTCATCTCCTTTATTTTTGTACCTCAATGTGCTTATGGTAGGTACTTAATAAATTCTTATTGAGTTAAGCATAAGAAGAGCCTGCCAGAGATCCTGAATAAGTCTCTTTAATAATTAGAGGTCCCTTCCCTTTGGCCTTTCTCAGGATTGTTAAAGTCCCAGATGCATGAAGTATCTGTCCGCAAGAAACAGATGTTCCTGTTTGGGTGTCATAGTTGCTAACACACTTTGGTGGTTTACAGGATTATGCATTACAGCTGGGAGAACTTCAGGAATAGTAGATAATTAAATCCAGTTAGCTCGGTAACTTTGGTCAATTAACCTTTCTAGGAGCTGGTATCCTTGTCTGTAAAATGAATCTGCTCAAGTAGATAATCTCTCAATGTCCTGTAAGGACCAAATGAATATATCTGTAAAGTGACAAAATTCTAAGAAAATTTTAAATTGAAAAACATGTTTACGACTGGCTAAGCTAGATTATGAGTTTTTCCTTTATTTTTTTACTAGACGGATTGATTTGGAGTCAATGTTCTACTTTGGTCATAGATTCATAGGTGATTCATGAAACATCAAGCCCCTGGATAATTCTTCCAGTTTGGCCTCCAATCTTTGGGTCATAACACTATTTATTACTAACTCCAGTAGAAGAAATAAAAGAATATTTTAAAATTAGCCAGTTAATAGTTTGGATAAAGGTTCGAATGGGAAAAACGTTGTTAACAACTGAACTTGAATTCATTTGTTTACTTCATTCAACAATTTTTTAAACCACATACTTGCTGAGCTATCCTGAGCTATCACCCTCCTCTTATAAGAACACATGAGAGTTGACTTTATTTTACTACTGGTTGATGCTAGATTAGAAAAGCTCTTTGTAGAAAGCTTATCTAGATTATAAAGACTGTGATGTTAAGAATGGCATGTATGGTTCTTTTTTTTCCCCAAACTCTAAAATCTGTATTGCCAAGTATCATGTCTTTCATTCATTTGATCATTAATTCAAACCACTTAGTAAAAATTTTCTGAAGTGCCACCATAAAGTGCTTAGAACACCCAGAATCTCCATTCTCAGAGAGCTCAGAGATCTCAGAGATCTCTAGGAATGGAGATCAAGTGGTAATTATTTCCAGCTCATTGTAAACGCTATCAGTGGGGAGTGCTAAAGAGTCTTGGGAACACAGAGAAAGGGCATCTCATGAAGCTCTGGGGTATCAGGGCAGCATTTCAGATGAAGGCTAAGTCCTCAAGGATAAATAACAATTAGGCAGGAGATTGGAGGGTTGAGAAATTGGGGAGCAGAAGGTTAGGTAGTGAGAGCCTGATACAAGTAGGTGGTGGTTCAATATGAGGGGAGCATGAAGTTCCCGATGGAAGAGTGTTGCATATCGAGGTTGCGAAAAGGGTTCGTTGTCTTTGAGAACAGATGCTTAAGACTCTGTCAGTTCAGCCAAGAAATGTGAACTTTATCTTGAGGACAACAGTGAGCCACTGTAAGGTTTTGAACTGATGAATTACACAGTCAGGTTTAGATTTTAAGAAGAATCATACAAGGTGGAAAATGGATTCAAGAGACTAATTTAAAGGCTCTTATAATAATGTAGGTGACAGTTGACGGAATCCTGAACTTAGTATACTGGCAGTGGGGATGGAGGGAAGTGGCCACAATAGAAATTAGTGATTGGGTAGGTGTAGGTGGGAGTGGAGAAGCCCAGGTTTGGGGAATCAAGGATATTAGGCATGTAATGGGCACTTGTTGAACTGAACCCAAATATTTAGTGAATTACTATGTAAAAGGAATTCTGTACTTAGGAGAGCTAGTCTTTGCAGAATGGCTCCTTTTAAACTGAAATTGAGTTCAGAGAGACCTATATATTTTGTATTTGGTCACTTAACAGAGGTACTCAAAGGTGTAGGAAGACAAGTGTATGAAGTCAGTGTGTTTTTTTTCTTTTGTGTATTTTGGTATTACCATTTTTCTTGACAG